GAGTTAATGGGAACAGTTAAGAGGTAAAAATGATGAGTTAAATATTGACACTAAAATATGAAAGCCACTGTTAATAAGCTCATTTTGTAAAATTAATACCTAAATTTATGTCTATAATGTGGAAACATAACTTGTTGCTGGTTTTGCATTCGAGAAGAGCTATGCTTTCAAAGCGAAATCAGCTAAAATACTCGTAGACCCTTCCTTCCTGTGTCACAGGTCTAATATGTTTTTGTCTCATTAGGTATCTGTACTTAAGAAATGTTTTACATCACTGGGCTTAGACTCAAAACAGTATTAGGGGATGAGTTCAAGTAGCACCTCCCTTTATTAAAGCCAAGTTCTCTTTATATGGGGAGCTCAAACTGAATTCAGACTAGTGGTAAGATGGTGCAAGTAACACCTAGTTCTTCTACAATGCTTTTTATCCTTGACTCTTACACGTGCTTAACAATAGAGGTAGTAACCATTACCCTTGTGTTTCATGGTGGGGAAAAAGAAGGCAAAAAGCTTGGTTTAAACATGTGAAAAAGAGCAGAACTGTGGGACTGCTGTAATGGAGGAAGAAGGGGAGGGTGTTTTTCTGAATTAGTTACTGATTTTCTTGAGGGAAGACTAGCATCTGAATCTTTTAATTAGGTTATTTCTTAGGAAATACCAAGTGGGTGAAAATGGAGAGAGGAATGGAAAGAATTAACTCTTAATATATAATATATGTAATCTTAATTCAGTTTATCTTTTGAGTGTTTGACACTACAGTCTTAAAAGTATTTTTTAGCTTGTCTACTGAATATAAGTACAACATAAAGGAAGTGTTGACTCTCAGTGATTTAAAGGTAAAATATTCTTGTAGGGTGTATTGTATTGAGAGAGAGGTATTTGAATAATGACTGACTTTATTCCATTTGTAGTTTAGATTTTCCTTGCTCCCTGTCCAGCATTCCTAACGCAGTTAGGATATTTTTAAGAGGAGAAGCCTTTGGTTTGTCTAATCTTGAAAGTGATGGTAAACAGGACTCAGGTGAGAGAAGGTTATTGGCCAAGATGCAGAAGAATCCTTTTCTCAAACTTGTTAATTTTATATGCAGTGAATAAGGACAGAAATTGCATACAGATTTTGTGCAAAGCCACTGCATCTATAGTTGTCTGTGTTTTAAAATCCACTTGTAAAGTCATGGTACTTGCACAGTTCAAACAATTCTGTTTAATGCTTAACTCATGCCGCTCTAATTGCTGTTTCAGAGACTTTCTGTTTTCTCGGTAAACCAGGTTTTTTTGTTTCTCTGTAGGATTAGTAAAGGCTTGCATCATAATTCATATGCCACTAATATAAAATGTCAACTCTTGAATGCAGATGTTTGTTAGGAAGACCCCAGTGGGTATGGAAATAATAGCACTGACCCCTCACGGGATCAAGTTTGCTTATGGGATAAATGCAGAAATTCTTCTTCAAACCATTGTGTTCTGAAAGTTTTCCTGAATTTTCCTTTATATGAACTTTCTTTGGACTGTAATTAAGAAGCACCATAAATCTGGAAAATCTGGGTGACATTTCTCATATCTTCATGCTATGATGAAAAGAACTGGTAGCAGCCATTATTTTGAAATCTTTGGTTAGTTGTAATGCTGAGAAGTTCTGGTAGTGACTCACCAAACCTCACAGACAGTGTTCCTGATAAGTGTGCTAGGCAAATAGTGTTGTAAACTATTTTATGACCTTGCCTTTATATCTATAAATTTGTTTTCTTATCTTTTTCTCTTTTAAAAAAAAATCTTATTGGTACATGTATGCTAGACTGAAAAAGGTGGTTAATTACTCAAAATGAGAGGTTAGTACAGTGCCGTATGTAATATAGACAAGACCATTTTTACAGCTCTGATGAATGTCATGGATGCAATTCTTAATTTAAATGAGCTCTCTTTAGCAGTAACTGTATAGATGCAATAACTGTGCGTATGTGTGCACTTCAGATACAACTTTTGGAATATCCTGGACAGCCTTTTGCTTGGTCTCTTCTACTCTATTTACAGTCTTCTGTATATAACTGAATTTGGGTAATTCCACCCCTCCACCACCACCCCCCTTTTCAAATGGAGACTTATGCAGCATTTGAGTAGTCTTTAAAATTCATCTGTACTGATTCAAACTTCTAAGCTTTAATTTTGGAGTACCTCAGATCTCTTTAAAGCAGAGGAATCTTCTCAGTCTCCTTTGAGACTGATAAGTTTAGCACTGTACTTTCATGGTTTGGACCATCTTTCACATGAGGAAAGTCTGAGAGAGCTGGGACTGTTCACCCTGGAGAAGAAAAGGCTCAGGGAGATCTTTTCAAGGAGTATGAACACTTGATGGGAGGGAATGAAGATGAGGGAGCCAGGCTCTTTACAGTGGTGCCCAGTGACAGGACTAGAGGCAATGGGCACAACGTGAAACACAGGAGGTTCCCTGTGAACATCAGGAAACACTCCTTTACTGTGAGGGTGACTGAGCACTGGCACAGGTTGCCCAGGGACGTTGTGGAGTCTCCATCCTTGGAGATACTCAAAAGCCTCCTTGTTCCAGTCCTGGGCAACTGGCTCTAGGTGACCCTGCTTGAGCAGGGTGGCTGGACCAGATAATGTCCAGAGGTCCCTTCCAACCTCAGCCATTCTGTGATTCTGTTCGTGTGCCCCCCCCCCCATATCCTTCCTGGATATATTTCATTAGTTATACCTGTCAATTGTGAAAGTTTTGGGAACTTTGGAAATGAAAAAGAAAATTTTGTAGTTTGTATTTGTGTGTGTATCAGATACATATGTGTGTGTGTCTGAATATTGCATGTATCTATATATAATGTAGATATTTTATAGGAGCCTGACATAAAATCCTTAATCATAATGCTTTGATTACCGTAACAATAGTCCTTTAAATTGTTTTGTGGCTTATTTTATTAACTTTTTTTTTTTCTTTTTTTTGTATGTGTATGTGCTTTGTCTTGCAGAGTTGGAAGAATCCAGGGATTTCAAGCTTTCAATGACGGGCATCTCACAAGATTACCACAGCTAAACTGAAAAGGCAGATGCAGCTCTGAGTACCAGATTGAGTGAGCTGGTGTGTGCACTGCATGTACATGAAAACGCACATGTTTTTGTCATCACATAGACTTACTCTTGCATATTCCTGAGAGCTTCGCAATTGATGAAATTTAATTTGAGAACCAGATGGAGCACCTTTGCAGCACAGGAATCGGTAACCCATGGAAAGACACCTGCCAGTAATGTTCAACTTTCCACATGGTCTTCACTGGTGAAAAAGGTTTGCAAGAAGAGGAAGAAAAAACACGCTCTGCACAGAAAAAGCCTACTAAATACCTCCACAATCTAAATCAATAGCTGCGAGGGAAACGGAAGAATACAGAGGGTAGAGGAAACTGATTTTGTTGTTGCAGAGGAATAATGTATGGTCTTTGGCACATTTTGATTTGGGCTCAATAGATTGTGAATGGACTAATAAATCGTGACCATATGTTGAGTAATGATGACTGGAAGTAAAAAAGTTGAGGAACTATGGGACAAGTCTGGGCACTGAACTGAGCAAACCTCGTCGTCCTTCTTGAGTTAACCAGGTCATCAAACTTGCATATTCTTTCTCCCTCTCCTTTTTCCTCTTTTCACTTAGTGTGGTATAAATACTAATTAATTGAGCTCATAAATGTTATTCAAATAAAACAATTGGAATACTTCATATGTTTCCTTCTTGTACAGCTGCAAATGTTGTGTCTGGAACTATGAATCTGTGCTGTAGACAAGCATCAAGAAGGAAAGATCCAATCAAACAATCAAGGAAAATACCTAGAGAAATAGTGAACCCAGGAAGTCAGATTTTTAATGCTGCTTCTCTTTCTTTTTTAGATGATTATATTTCTTCCTTCTTTGAATTTTAGAAGATTTTGAAAGAGTGCTTACTTGATGTGCTTTAATTCTGGCATTTGTTTTTTACGGTAGGATGAAAAGTCTGTGATTCCTTGTAGCAGAAAAAAGGGAAAAGTAAAGGAAAAACAGCTTGACATTTTAGCCTGTTTCGGAGGAGAGAGAACTTCATGGTTCACCTGAGGCAAACTTATCTGCTTTGAAAGCTAAAAGCTTTAAGGCATTTTTGATTCTGCTATAAATGAAGAGGGGTTTCTTTTTCATTCGTGTGTGGCAGCAAAAAGTGGGAAAGCAGGCAAGATAGCGTGATAAACAGTTCAGGCTGTGTTGGGTCTCTGGTGGAAAAAAAGTGCTGCAATGAAAATTGGATTGGCTTTGGATTGCAAAAACTTTTGAAAGAGGGATTTCCCAGCTGGCCTGGCACACCAGTGCCTGCACAAGTTCGGGTCTGTTGTTTCGCACGGTTTGTGTGCCTTTTTTTCCCTTTATGCAATCTCTTTCAGCTTTAGCAGCAGAAATACATCAGATGGAAAAGATATGCCAGAGGGCAGCTTGGAAAAGATGAATGTCATATATATACATATATATGTACGTGCGTGTGTTTAAATTTCTGCAACTGAACTTCTGAAGAAAATCTGACTGGAGGAAATCTTAAAAGCCTTAAGTTACTTGAAACCTACACATTTGCAACTCTTTGTCTCTGGAATTGCATTACGTTAAACTGGAATCTCAGGCTGTATAAAGATTATATCAAGTTGAGCAAAAAGATGACTTAACCATTTCTTGAGCGCCTCTTATGAAGTAGCTGTTTCTCCAAAGGATAAGTGCACCCTCACTCTACAGACTCAAAAAAAAAATGAACCTGAATTTTTTTTTAAGTGTTACTTTTTCTTAGCCAACTGCCATCATCTTTTATAGAGGAATTTTTCACTATGCATTTGGTGGATATTTATAAACACTGACCCCATCCTCCTCCCTTTCAATGATCTATCCCAGGTCAGTCTTATCAATAAAAAAAAAAAAAATTGATTTAAATTTTGTGCACTAGACATATTACTTTCTTATGTCAAAAAATAAAATATTTAAAAAGCATGTATGCAGCAGTGGAACATGGGCCTGTTCTTTGCAGCGATTCCAACATCCTCTGCCTCTCCTGGAAAGGGAGAGTCCCCAAAAGTGAGAAGGAGAAACCGGTGTGCAGGAGGCGGTACTATGAGGAAGGCTGGTTGGCAACAGGCAATGGCAGAGGAGTTGTAGGCGTCACTTTTACTTCCAGCCATTGCAGGAGGGACCGGAACACCCCTCAGAGAATCAACTTCAATTTGAGGGGCCACAACAGCGAGGTAAGCAAAATGTGTGTTACACTTTAAAGGAAACGATAGCAATCTTTTTTTTTTGTTAGTATTTCTACTTGAAATTTGACAGGGCGGTATGAAGGAGGCTCAGGACTAACCCAAATATGTTTGGGATCTGTTGGAGTCTTTCTAGTAACTTCACGTACATGAGGCTGACCGTGGAGAGGTTCTCTGGAAATGGGTCTGGTTTTGGTTTGGCCTGTTTTCTCCTACATTCCCCAGCACCTCCCAGTTTCCAGGCAAATTGAATAAATGTGTGTTAAGGGAGTTAAAAATTGTGATGGTTGACTGCTTTTACACAGTATTAAAGTCTGGCTTGGAAGACTGATGGAAAGGCAGGGGAGTGAGAGAGGAGCTCAGTTGAAGCCTGCCAGTTTTTCAGAAGCTGCAAACTGGAATGGCCCGTGGCAGGGGATAGCTGTCATCTCTAGAAAACACTTTAATTTTGTTAGAAAAGGGGGCAAGTGGGACTTCTCAGAAAAATGTTAACATGCCCTGCAGTAACATACTGTAACTTCAGAGTGCAAGGCATTGTTCTGACTACAACGATACAAAATCTTTTCCATTTATTTTTTCTGAAAGGGATAAATCTGTTGGTAAAAGCTGATATTTCAGCTGTGCTTTACCATCTTCCTGGCACCTATCTCTTTCTCTGTATAACACTTCATGGGAAGTGCAGATGATGCCCAGTAGCATACAGAGTGTCTTGACCAGGTGTGAGGACTTAGTCTGTTTCTGCTTTTTAGTTAGGCTGCGTTTGGATATGCTCTTTGAAAAGAATCTGTCCAAATCAAAGCTCTGCTGTTGGGTTAGTGGGTGGAATGACATTGTATGTGCTGATATTAAAACCAAAGATAGAATGTGGTTTTTCTTGTCTTCTGTGCTACTTAATCATTGGACTCTAATGTATGTCGCCCTTTTGACATAAGCCGCACCAAAGATTTAGAGGTGGATGGTTTTGGTTCTTGTGTTAACATTAATAGCAATCTGTTTTTAAGGAAAAAAGGGAGCAGGGGATAAATATTTATAATTGTTCCACACGCTTTGTCTATATGCAGGTGCGTAGGTGTATTGTAAATTATACAGACTTTTATATTTATAGACAAGAGACAGATTCATGTATATATTTGTATCAGGTTCATTCAAAAAATTACAGCCACCTTTTCCCAAAGGGAAGAATGATGTTTGAATCCAGCATTTTGTTTTGAGCCATCTCTAGTTGTCAGTATAATTTTCAATTGCAAATTGCATTTTGTTTTTGAAATGTGTGATACAATGATGACTTTTTATTTCTCCGTATTTTCTTCTCTAACTTTTCTGTGAACCTGGGCACCTGTTTTTCTCTTTTTGCACAATATGTGTCTTGGAAACAATAGAGGAAGTGCTGTTTATGGGAACGTGAAGTCTTGTTGCAGGATGTGGAAATATATAAGACTAGGTTTAAGTATGTGCCACTTAAGTGGAGAAGATGCTGATGTGCATGCTGCCCTTTGGTTGCTGCCCTTTGGTTTTGGCTAGTTTTGCTTTGTTAACTCAGTTGGCCGTTAGATTCTCCTTCTGGGTCACTGCATCGTTGCTGTGTGGATTGAGCAGTGCTGTTTGCGCATCCTTTCACCTGACAGTGATTGGTACGAGAGAGACTCTCAAATGAGGAGAAAATGTTCTGTTTGAAATTTTTTTTAATTTGGGTGCTTAAAATGTGCTGGGTTGAGCTTGTCATTAAGAGTTGTCTTTCTGTAAGTAATCCTCCTGATAGCAGAAAATGTGTGAATGACCAGAATAGAGACTGCCAATTAATTTCTCTGTACGGCACTACAAAACTGGTATGGTGGGGTCAAAAATGTGTCATACTGAAGGAAGAAGAGAAGTGCAGCTTTAGTGCAACCAGCTTTCTGTGATGAGTCTGTGGCTGCAATCAGATTTTCTTTCTGGCATATTTTTTTGAGCATTGGTGTAGATGAAAGTTCGTCCTTACAAGACGGTGTGTTATACAACATTCTTCACCAGGCTTACTGAATGTAACCCTTTTATAGAAGAATTCTACTGATTTTGGTAGGAACGAAACTGTAATACAGGATTTGTTAGTTGTAAAAGGTATATAGTTGAATGGACAACAAGATTTTTTCTTTAGAAAACACCTTTACTTCTAAATGTGTCTGTTGAAAGGTTCTTTAAAAGAAAGAAAACATTGAACAGCACTGCTTATTGCTTATATTTGCATAAGAAGTAGTAAATATTTTGTTTTCCCATTCTCATGTTAAAAAGCAAGCCAACAACAACCTTGTGCCTTCTGTGTAAGTTTTACAATGGAAAATACTAATTCTGCAAGCATATTCTGGTATTTGTGTCTGACGAAAACTGTGTTTGTTTTACAGCATGTGCCCAAAGGGATGTGGTTGACTTAAAACTTTAAGAGCCTGTGTGGTTCACTGACCAGTTCTAGGAGCGTACTGTATTGTCTTGTTCCCAGAAATGGTGATTTATACCTCTACATATTTTTCTCTGGGGTAAAGCTACGGTGACAAGTCAAGTTTACTGCTTTTCTGACATATGTTGCTGCTTTAATATTAATATGCATTCAATTATAAAGTGTGAAATGCTGTGATGAACAGAGCAGAAGAGATGAAAATACAGAAGCTAAATGCTTTCCATTTGGGGTATAATTAGCAATATGCTGTGGGCAGAGCAGTACATTGTATTTCAGTTTTAGGGTGAAAATCTGGAAAAGGTAATGCGGCAGTGCTGTTCTTTTGGCAAGAACGTGAGGCTATTTTTAAGTGGGTTATGAAGGTGGATGCTAGTGATGTATTTTTGCTATGTTTTTATGATTGCTGAAGAGATTCACTGAAACCTTCTTTTGGTACACAGCTCCTTTTTTGACTGTAATAGCATGCCTGTAGCATATCAGAACAAATAAGAATGAAGAATCCCCAGGACTGAATTACTGACACGCATATTGCAGTGGTGGACTTGCATGACTCATCGCATTGAAAAATAATTGAGAATGAAATGCTTTGTAGCACGAGCCACGCTTGTGTTTTTACAATTGCTTCAAGGTTGGTTTTTAGAATTTGCAACTAGGAAGTGGCTGCCATATTATTTTAATTAACAACTTCAATTTTTGTAGTTTCTAAGGAGAACCACAGGGATTAAAATAAGCATATTCCATTTATTCTGTGGCAAGAGGTGAAAATACTGCATTTTGTGATAGATTTTTTTTTTTTAACTTTGGCATTGCATTTACAGTCCTGAATCTCATTTACGTAAGGCTCAGCATTCTAAAAATGAAAATTTAAATGGGCACGTATCAAAGGCAGAAGCAACTTTGATGCAGAAAGAAGGGGAAATGCGTGTTGTGCAGCAGTTGTGCAGCTATGATGTGTTTCACGTGTCATGGGAACGCCTTGCATCTCTGACCATGGAATGGGAGGTGTCTCTATGAGGGTAGGTAGTGGACAGAGCAGATGTGAATGACTGCAGAGGCACATGGTTCGGTTTGGCTTTGGAGCATTTCCCTTGGTCTGGGAGAACAAACTGGTGGAGGCTGGTGTTCAGCGGGTTTCTTTAAGTCTGGCAGAAAGGTTAGAGGGCAGGAAGATGAGCCATTGTACCACAGTGTGTGAATTAGCAGCCAGGGAGCAGAGATGCGGTGGCCTAAAATACCTTCCCCTCCCCTGAATGTGTAAATGCAATGCTGTGCAGAAATTAAAGAGTGAAATTTAAAAGTCTCTGATTTTGACCTAACTTGACTTTCCTTGGCTGCACTGGGAAAGAGGGTTAGAACAATAATTGAGCATATTATTTTTATGACTCATTA